ATCTCTAATGGCAGGCGATTGCTCAGCCAGTTTTCTGACATTAGACTGACTCATATCTACCAGAAAGCAAATACAGCAGTAGATTTTCTTACTAAATCAGGATCCAATGTTGTACTGAATGAGAATTCGTCTGAACTCTCCCTTTTGTTATTTTTGTGACTGCAAATATGAGATCCTTGATGAAAAATAATAGATTTAGGAGAAGATCTCAAAATTGTCATATACTTCATCATAGAGATTCCTAAACTGATAAATTAAAGGGAATTGTGCACAAAAGTGAAAATTCTTTAATCCTAATTAACATTCGTTTCTCCATAATATGCCAAATGGATTTGTTTGGAATATGGATTTCAAGACAGGTTTAACAGGTACTATCAAAAGAAAAATAAGTTTAGCATTATTGTAAAGCTCTTTGAATCCAATTAAGCTAACTTGCAAAGTTCTGGGATATACCTATAAATGAAAAGTGCTTAATAAATGAAATTAATTCAAACGAATAGGTACATCAAATATCTTACATTGTAAAAGTCAAAACAACCAGCTCTAGTTAAACAAAGGTTAAATATCAAATTTAGTTCCTGAACTTTCAATTCTGAATAATTTTAGTCCCTAAACTATGAAAAATACATTTTTTTTAATTAAGTCTATCCAAATGGCATTTTTAACCATAGAGCGTAAAAAGAAGGCATGAAAGAAACCAGAAAAAGAACTACAGAAGAAGGCACCGCACTCCAGCAAAAGCCCTGGATTTGGACTCTTGCACTAAACTGTCAGGACAGGGCTCATACTGTCAAACAGCTGATTATATAAACCATGCCTCAAGAGTATGCACACAACTAATGATGATTTTTATAAACAAAGGGGGTTACAAATACAAATAGCAGTCACAGATACATCATGTGCAGAATAGAAAGGGACATCTAATATTTGATTCATTGAAAAACTCAACACTGACCTGGTACACAGTAAAAGACGATTTACGTCTGCCTCAAATTGTAGAAGCCTTGGATCTCTAGCAAACATCGGACTCTTTGCAAGAGTTTTTACAGCCTGAAATAACATAAAAACAAATACACACACCCATATATATATATTCAATGCATAAATGGGCGTCTTGTAACTACCTGGTCAGTCCATCAATATATCACCTACAAAAAAGACAATTTTGGGACATAATCAAGGAGATCAAAACAAGAAAGAGAAATCTGTTGCTTGAAGTTGGAGTTCATCTCCATTGAATAAGTTGGATGCATGTGCACTGATAACCTGTAGGAGGTAGTTTGAAATGGGTTATGAACAATAGATGCCTACTCAAATACATTTTCACCTCCATGAAAACCAGCCAAAAAAAAAAAAAAAAGAGAGACAAAAAGAAGAAGAAAACCTCAATTTAAGATGTCAAACGATTCAATAAAATATTTTCAATTTGCATTCACTACAGATTTGACTGATCTCATAAATCAAACAGCTCAGAGAAAACTCCTTTTCAAATTACACAACTGGGTACAGGTGACTTCAATCAGCACATGTCATTACAGTTGCAACAGAACTAAGTCAGAACTACCATAAATTATCCCAACAGGTCATTAGAACTCCCTCATATTTAGCAGTTCTTCACTTGGAAAAAGTCCAGTCGTCAATTTTTATGCATGCCCACAAACTCTTTTTTACTTTCCACTAATCATCTAAGTGGAAGTGTTACAATTCTACAAAAGCCCACTCTTCCTCACATATTTGATCGATTATTAAAATCCCAAACAGAGAACTGTCTGCTTCAATCTACTACTACCCAAAATACCAAGTGGCAATACATAAGGTCCCAAATACAGAACAGCCAAAAGATCAGTGGATTAGGAACATTTGTGTTTATAAATTACAGAAACAGTGGGAAAAATTAACTTACCTCCTGAAATTTGTTAAAGAAAAACGCCATTGCCAAGGTAGCTGCCCTCTTGGCACCGTACTCTCTTGCGCTTCTGAGGTGGTAGGAAGAGGACGCGGTGCGACTGTGCGCCCATGCCAGTGCACGTGTTCCCATTTGGGCTGGGCCTTTTGGGTCCTCTTCCGGGGTTCAGTTATTGTCGTCAACGAGGTTAGGAAACGAATTGTTACTGCTAAAAAAAAAGAAAAAAAAAAGAAAAAGAAAAAGAAGAAACCTTTAGCATGTTGAGACTATTTTGCCCTTTTGTTCTTTAAACAGACCCAACTCATCCTTGTTATTAACACGTGCTTGGGTTTAAAGAGAATGAAAAAAAAAAAGAAAAAAAAAGAAAGGAGGGAAATTTTATTCCTTTATTTTTTCTTCATTTCTTTCTCATCTCTCTCTTTTATTTGGATAAATTAATAGATTAAAAAAATAAAATAAAGAAAAAATTTTCTCCTATTTTCCCTCTAATTTTTTTTAATAAAATCAAGAAAATTCCCTCATTTCCTTCTCTTTGGTACTCTCAACTCAAATCTACTGTTAATTTATAAATACACACCTATTTTGCACAAAAGGTGCAGACTCTTTAAAATTGTTGTGTTAAACTAAATCATCACTTAAACAATATTGATAAAATTTGTCACTTTAAATTTTTACTTTTAAGAAATTGAACCAAATTTAATGGTCATTATTAACTCTCTATTAGATTTCAAAAACAATAAGTTAAAGGAATTTAATAGCAACAGTTAAATTTCGGTCAATTTCTTAAATATGAAAATTTAAAGTGATAAATTGGATCAACAGTTTTTGTTAGCAATTTGCTTCAACTTTACCATTTTACGGGGTGATTTGCACATTTAGCCCCCATTTTGTTTTGCATTCATCAAGATTAGTAAACCAAATCGGAGATTTGGTACAAATAAGGGATAAGGGAAAAGGTACAGATAATGATATAAAATTTATCATTTTTTTATTCAATGATATAAATTTTTTAGATTTTTAAATTATGTGGTAAATTTTTATTTCTTTCTATTTAAAGACATAAAATATGAACTTTGCTCTATTTAGATTAAAATTATTGTTTGCTGCATTATCATTACCATCTAATAAATATTTAAATAGAAAAATCACAAAATTCGTATCTTTATCAAGCAAAAAATAAAAATCTACCATCTTATTTAAAAATTTAAAAAGTTCATATCCTTAATTAAAAATGTTAGAGTTTGTATCTTTATCTATATCTTTTCCTTACAAATATTTAAAAATTTTCTAATTTAGGACATAACTTATACAATTTTCTCAAAGACATAAAGTAGATGTGCAAAATCATTTCTTTAATTAGAAACTTGTAAAAGATAAAAGTTTTAATTACTAAAAAAATATCATATTTTAAATTAAATAATTTTTAAAAATTATATTCTTATTTGTAGCAAGTCTCACCAAAATAGAAAAGAATATCAAAGAAAACATTGATTTGAATTGAAATATACTAAAAATCTAAAATCTCAACTCTAGTGATTAACGCTTCGTTTGCTTGTGCTTTTTATAGACATTTTTCGTATAATATCTTATTTAAAATTATAAAATTTTCAATCATAATTAGTTAATTTTAGTTGATTTGTTAATATATTTTTATTAATTTTAATTAATATTTTATATTTTTTAAATAATAATACTAAATATAAAACATAAAACCACAGTATTTATAAAAAAAAAAAACTTAAATCAATTACTTATTAGTTTGAATAGAAAGAATTTAGTTTTTCTTAAATACAGTCACGAGTTTAAATAATATAAATAAAGAAACATGTATTAAGAAAAACAAACACTAAAAACATTTCTTCATTATAAGATTCAATGTAACTTAATCTTAAATTAATTGAAAGTCAATTTAACTTTCAGATAATGGGGTTTAGCACTAAAAAAAAAAAAGAAAAGAAAGCAAGCATGAAAAAAACCCAAAAAAATAAAAAAAAGCTATTTAAAGGTAAATTATAGGTTATCTAGCATTAACTTTCAATAATTTTCATCTCTCAAAATCTTGTCTTGCATATTTTTTATCTTTTAATTTTAAAAAAATATATTTTTTAATCCTTCAATTAAAAAAAATATATTTTTTAATCCTTCCATTAATGACACATGTGTGAAGTGTCAACCATTAAATAACTTAACATTGCATTTTCCTTTACTTTTTATATGACGTGGCAATTGAATTTAGCTATCTGGAACAAATATAAATGCCGAGTCAAATTTTTGTGAAACTAATGCCCCTAAAATGTCTTTTTGTGGGCCCCACTCACTACAATTAACTCTAATTAATCAAATTTAAAATTGCAAATTATAATTTCTTAACAAGTAAACAAGATAATTTTCTCAAGGACCAGACAAGATAATTTTCTCAGCATAAAAGCACTAATTGAAACAATTTTCTACTTTATTTAATATTAAACTTGACTAAAACTTGAATTTCAAAGGCAAAAATACCAATAAATTGAAAGATAGAAATGATATCTTAAATTTCTCACCAAATCAATTCATTTTCTTTATAGAGAATTTTCCAGTCGAACCCGTCGATCTCCCTTCGACAAAACTCCAAACGTTGTGCAAAACCATGGCCGGAGCCATGTTTAGCCTTTTGGAAAAAATTCAATACAATCCCAAAATTTTGAAAATTTTAAAAATAAATTCCATCACTGGTCAGTAATCTTTTAAATATAAGACATTTTTTTCCCAAAATCTTTATTTTGTTTCATCTAATATTTTGAACCTTTATGATAATAATCATTATTAATTAGTTGATAAAAAAAATCAGAATTGTTCATTGTATTAGTTTTAATAGTTAAATTTAAACCAACATTGGCATGGCAATTAGTGAGTTTATTAAATATAAAAAATTTTAAATTTTTTACAAAAAAAATCAATAAAAATATATAAATTTCTAACACATCTCTTTTCTCTCTTCTTCATCCCCTATTTGCTTGAAAACACTGAATTGTTTTCTTTATGATACTTAAAATCACTTTAGAATATTTAATTATGTACGTTGTTTAGTTCTTTTTTTCTATGAAGTCAATAATAAAAATTTTACCTCTAACATAAAACAAATTGTTAAGTGGTTATAACTAGTTTTTCTTCTTTTTATAATTTATGGGATTTACTATTACAAAAATATTAATTTTTTTATTGTTAATTATTTTTTATTTTTTTAATTCATAAAGATAACTAAAAAAATATTCACTAATTACTAAAACAACCTTTTATAGATTTTGTTTTGGTCCTTTCTAAACATTATTATAGCTTCCTTCTCTCATTTACCTTCTCAACAAATCCTGGCTCCGCCACTGGTCAAAACCTTTCACTGAAAACTTGCAATTTCCACTTGATTTTGATTAAGTTTGTCCTTCTCCTCTTGATTCTAAACTTGGTTCAAAGTTTGAACAGAGATTGAGTTCAGGAAAATGAATATGAGGCTCTAGATTTGTTTGAACAGGTTATGGGTTCTTAAGAACTTAGAATTCTAAGTTGACCAACCTAAGTCTTTGGTTTGCTTAAAAAGTAGAGGGATAAATTATTAAAATTTTATATAAATATAATATTTAAAATTTGTGTGTAAATAAAATTTTGAATATTATTAAAATTAAGAAAAATAAATTTTTTAACGAAAAAATGTGCCACTTGGAATTTAGCTAATGTAAAGACCAAGGATACGTAATTTGTAAAGTTGAGAGATCTAAAATGTGTTGAAAATATTTTACGAACAAAAAAATATTAAAAAATGAGAGCTCAAGAACTTAAAATTAATATTTAACCTAAATTATATGATATGTGGTAAATAAGATTGGTACGTGGGACCTGAATGATGATATGGTTTCCATGTACGTGGGACCTGAATGAAGTATGTATGTTGTCATTTTATTAACTTTAACTTAAGTGTATCTTTTATTTAATAATAGATAAAAATTATATAAAATAATCGAAAAGAGAATTACCCCTCCAGGCTAATACCTGTTGGTAATTCAGTAATCACAACCTTCACTGCCGCAGTCCCTCAGCCAATCTCCATCATTTGCAGAAATGGCAGCAGAAAGAGTGGGAAGGATGAAGCTCGGTTCCCAAGGCCTCGAAGTTTCAGCACAAGGCCTTGGCTGCATGGATATGTCTGCCTTCTACGGTGCTCCCAAACCCGAACCTGATATGATCGCCCTCATCCACCATGCCGTAAATTCTGGCATCACCTTCCTCGATACTTCTGATGTTTACGGTCCCCACACCAACGAAATCCTTCTCTGCAAGGCTTTGAAGGGTGGACTCAGGGATACAGTTGAATTAGCTACCAAGTTTGGGAATATTCGTGTGAACGGTAAAAGAGAGGTCCGTGGTGATCCAGCTTATGCCGGGCAGCCTGCGAGGCCAGCTTGAACCGTCTTGAAGTTGATTGCATTGATCTTTACTATCAGCATCGGATTGACATCCGTGTGCCCATCGAAGTCAAGGTTTGTTCTCTTTTTTTATATTGTGATTTTCTCTGAAAGTTAACAATTTGCAGAGAAAGCAGATTTTCAGGAAAATAAAAAAGAGAGAGTGCAGGAATATTTGTGAAATAATTTAAACTTCATAAATGAATTAGCAGGCATGGGTATTGGTAAATGTATTTAAATAAATAGAGAAGAATATCTCTACTTTTGTTTTTTTTTAACTTGAAAACACTTTGTCGTAATTTGCAATTGATTCTTTAGAGTAACAATAATGTTTTGGTAGACGGAGAACTCAAGAAATTGGTGGAAGAAGGAAAAATGAAGTACATTGGTCTTTCTGAGGCTTCTGCTTCAACAATTAGAAGGGCACATGCTGTTCATCCAATAACTGCGGTGCAGTTGGAATGGTCTCTATGGTCTAGATGTGGAAGAAGAAATAGTTCCTACTTGCAGGTCACAATATATATCACTTGGGGTGGTTTTGAATTAATTGGCAACCAGCATTTTGATGATTTTCCTTTTTCATTTCTCAGGGAACTTGGAATTGGGATTGTTGCATACAGCCCGCTCGGGCGGGGATTTCTTTCATCAGGGCCATTACTGGTGGAGAATTTATTGGACCAAGATGTCAGAAGGGTTCGTATCAATTTGATGCAAATTTTAACCTTCATAGCAAAGACCTTCTTGTTATTATGCATATCAAGTAATTTATGTTTGGTGATGAAATCATTCAAATGTGTTCTTCGACTGTGCGATGGTTTCTACCTAGATTCCAACCTGAAAATCTTGAGCATAACAAGCACCTCTACGAGCGAGTTAAGGAGATGGCAACAAGGAAGGGATGCACTCCTTCACAACTAGCACTAGCATGGGTCCATCACCAAGGGAACGATGTCTGTCCCATACTTGGAACCACCAAAATTGAAAACTTGAACCCAAACATAGGAGCTTTGTCTGTCAAACTCACGCCAGAAGAAATGGCTGAAATAGAAGTCATTGCTTCCAAAGATGATGTTCAGGGAGACAGATACCCGTCTGGCGTCACTACCTTTAAGAATTCTGATACTCCGCCTCTCTCTTCATGGAAACCTGAATGAACAATGGAACGGTATGTTACGAACTTTGATCAGCTTTTCCACTTTGTATTTAGAATTTTAGAGAATAAAAATGCTTTGTGAAAATTGTCATGTTTTTGAATGCAAAATTACAAATGCGAACCCTTTAAATCAAGTATGTATGTCAACTTAATTCTATCCTAAAATAAATAAAAACAAGGTCACCATCCTGCGCTTTGCACGGCTTAGTTAATATATAGTTAGTCCACATATTAATATTGTTGTCAGCTCATTGAGCATTAAGGTAGTAATTAAAAAAGGTTTGCATGTCATCTATTGAATTCATATAATATAATATAATAAGTAAAAAGAAAAAGGCAGAATATCGAAATCCATCCCCAAAGTATAGTAATAGGGACGGATTCACTTTTGAACAAAAAATTAAAACAAATTCACTCACAAAGTTTTCTATTTAATGTGTGACATCAATTTAATGTGTGACATCATTGACGTCAGTAATTTGTTAGCAATGAACTTATTAGCGACATAATGAATTAATGGATTGTTGACATCAAATGATGTTACACATTAAATTTTGGATGATTTGTTCAAGTTGAAAACTGTGGATGGATTTGTTCTCTGTTTTATT